AAATAAATAAATAAATCTTTTTTAAAAAGTGAAAATGAAGAGTCAAGGATTGCACTAATATTTTTGGCTTGAATTACTGAAAAAACTGGAGTGGTGTCAACTAAGGTAGGAGAAACCACAGTAGAAAGGGTTTGTGAGTCAAGACCAGGAGTTCCATTTGAGATGTGTTAAATTAGACTTGTCTTAGAAATCTATCCTGAGATGTGAAAAGTTGCACCTGAAGTACAAATCAGGGAGTCAGTAGGATGTGGACAATATTTAAGTTATGAGGCTGGATGAATTACCTAAGGAAGTGACAGAGAAGAGGAGTAGATATGCCAACACTGACACAAAAGAGATTGAGAAGGTGTCAGAGTCAGAGAGGAGAAAGATGAAAAGAGAAAAAAGTTTTGTGCCTTGGAAGACAGTTGAGTCGAAGGAAGGAAAGATCAGTGTATCAAGTGCTGTCATTCTGTCATGGATGAGGAGATCTAAGAATTGATCCTTAGCATTCTGGATGTTATTGATAACTTTTAGATTTCAATAGAGAGGGTAAAAACCTAGTTGGCTGGGGTGGACGGACAAATTGGAGACAGCAAATATAGATAACATTTCAGCTGTTTTTGTTTTTCTTTCTTTTTTTTTACAAAGTGATAAAGTTTATTAAAAAGGTAAGGAAATCACACACACACACACACACACACACTCACACGTAGGCCATGTTCAGGAATAGAGTGGTACAGGAGGGGAAAAGATGAGAGAAAGAGAGAGACAGAGATTTCAGTACCTTGCTCCTCTTTTTCTGTAAGAAGAGAGAGAGAGTGCGCGCAGAGATGTTTTTCTCCAAAAGGAAAAATAAAGAAGTCAAGAGTTGTGTTTCTGTTTATAGTAGTAATAGCACACTTACCTGTTGATGGGACTGAGATCCTAGGGAAAGAGGGAGATTGGATTAAAATCTTTTGGTAGGCAACTAATAATAGCAATATTGGCTACATGTGGTTCTTTGAGAATGATGAATTTTTGTAGATTACTGTTTTTGTGGCCTCATTGGGTGAGTGAATACTCTGTTAAACAGCTTTTCATTACAACTAAAATACCTGAGAGGTGCCAAGTAGGCAAGAAGCTTATTTGGCTTGTAGTTCAGAGGTTCACAGTCCACAGTGTGATGATTCCATTAGCCTTGCATCTAGCAGAGGCTGGCAATGGTGGAAGCCGGTGTGGGGGAATAGTCACATGACAAGCCAGGAAGCAGAAGAGACAGCGAGTGCACTCGTGTTATGTAACCAAGCCTCTCGTGGGAACTGTCTTCTGAGGCTAAGTATCCAGGAACCTAACTTACTCCTCATGTAGGATCTTTGTCCTTAGTGTGCTGTACATTGTGATTTAATGCTATAACTAGTACTCAAACAGTATTGTTCACTTTGTGTTTCTATGTGGGAGCAAACTGTTGAAATCTTTACTTAATATATGCTAAACTGATCTTCTGTATATAAAGAGAATTGAAAATGAATCTTGATGTGAATGGAAGGGGGGAGGGAGAGAAAAGGGTTGCGGGTGGGAGGGAAGTTATGGGGGGGAAGCCATTGTAATCCATAAGCTGTACTTTGGAAATTTATATTCATTAAATAAAAGTTAAAAAAAAAAGAAATAAAATATTTTAACCAAAAAAAAAACAAAAAAAAGAACTCCCACTAGGCCTCTCTCAGATACCATAATTCAATCAAGCCTGCTTTAATCCACTAATATTAACCCATTAACCATTAACGTAGGGCTTTGATTTAAACATCTGCATAAGCCAAATCCTGTTGAAACCATAACAGATACTTTATGGTAGTTCACTGTTGCCATCTTCAAGAGATATTCCTTGATGTACAAGAATAAATGAAAAATGAAAATTAATAAGTAGAGTCTGGAACAGATGAATGAAAGTTAAACTTTATGCAGAAGTAATATATGATTTTATAATTTGAATTTTAAAAATTATTTAAGATATCAGTTTTCTGTGTATGTGCCTACACATTTAATAATTTTTATGAAATTGTCACTTGATATTTAACTGGTTACGTAAGTAAACATTTAAATGGAGCCAAAAATACTATTGGACTTCTTATTTCCTAATTTTGTTACTGTAAGTAGAGAACTGTGAGAAAATATTTTTAATGGTTGCCATAAATTCCCTCCTAATATAGAAAATATCAAGAACTAATGAAACAAGAAATGGAAACCATTTTAGTGAGACAGAAACAGCTAGAAGAGACAAATATTCAGCTACGAGAGAAAGCTGGAGATATTCGTCGAAACCTGCGTGACATTGAATTAACAGATGAGCAGTATATGAAGCTAAAAGCTTTTCCTGAAGATCAGCTTTCTATTCCGGAATATGTATCTGTAAGTGTCTTGTTTTACCTAAAAAAAAAAAAAAAAAAGAAGAGAACTGCATACATTTTAGATTAAAATTTGCCATTGATGTAGTAGCCGTTATTTTTTAAGAACCCAACTGACAAATTATTCTGTGGCCATAATCTAAAGTTATTGAGTGGCATTCATAGCACCAACTTTTAAAGGCTCTTGACCTTTGATCTCCAAAGTCAAGCAATAAATTGGGCTCTGAACTTAATGACTGCATAGTCCATAGAAATGACTTATCTTATCATAAGCTAGTGGCTTATGCTCTCAAATTGAAACCTTTTGGAGATGAACAACAGATTCGTTGTTTCCAGGGTTTTGTTCGGGATAGTGAGGCAGAGCAAAGCTGATATGTTTATAAAAGGGATATAAGATGCTGAAAAGCTTTATAGGAAGAGATTGGCAAATATTCTTTTTTTAAAATAATTTTCTATTTGACACATAATTGTACATACTTAGTGGGTACAGTGTGATTTGTCAATACATAGTTCAGAATCTTGCAATATTGGTTATATAAATATAAATTCAGGATTAATATGTGTCAGTGTTCTCAGATTGTTTGGTGTCATATCGCTTTACACTCAAAAAATTATTCAGGACTCCAAAAAGCTGTATCAGTATTTACTATATTAGAAATTAAAATAGAGATTTTTTTAAAAACAGAATGCATAAAAATACAGTCTGTTAAACTTAGAACCAGTGATATCATATATCATCTAGCCATCAGAAAATGCCACTGAAGAATCGTTAGAGAATTGAACAGGTGCCAAAAAGTTCTTAATTAGGAAGATAGTTTTGATCTTCTGAGTTGTTTGAAAGGGTCTCATAATGACAGACAGGGCAGGGAAGTGGGGTCCCCCAACCGCAGATAAGAATTGTTGGCTTTGGTGCAGTACTGTGGTATAGTGGGTTAAGCTGCTGCTTGCGGTGCTGGCATCCCATATGGTGCCAATTCAAGTCTCAGCTGCTCCACTTCCAATCCAGCTCCCTGCTAATAGGCCTAAGAAAGCAGTGGGGGCCAACCCAAGTACATGGGCCTCTGCACCCATTTGGGAGACCTGCGTGAAGCTCTTGGCTTCAGTCTTGCCCAGCTCTGGCTGTTGTGACCATTTGGGGAGTGAATGAGCAGATGGAAGACTTCTCTCTCTCTCTCTGCCTCTGCCTCTCCCTCTCTGTCACTCTGCCACTCTGCCTTTCAAATAAACAAATAAATTGAAAAAAAGAAAAAAAAAGAAAAGAAAAGAACTGTTGGCTTTTGATATATAGCCATCATTTCTCTCTCTCTCTTTTTTTAAAGATTTATTTTATTTCATTTGAAAGGCAGAATTACAGAGAGGCAGAGGCAGAGAGAAAGAAAGGTCTTCCACTGGTTCACTCCCCAAATGGTCACAGTGGCTGGAGCTGTGCCAATCCGAAGCCAGGAGGTTCTTCCACATCTCCCATGTGGGTGCAAGGGCCCAAGGACTTAGGCCATCTTCCACTGTATAGCTGTCATTTCACCCTAAGAGGTTTGAATTTTTTTCATCTGTTAAAAGAGTTAATGATACCAATGCCTTTCTATTTCAGTAATTGTGAAGGTTATGGACACGTGTGTAAGATGCTTACTACAGTGTTTAGAATACAATAAACACATAATAAACACTACCATTATTTTTGCTGGAGAAGTAGTTGCTATTCTTGGCTTTCACTGGGATAAGGTTTGCAGATTAGTGATTTCTTATAAAATGAATTGTTATCTTTTTTTGTCCAGCTGTTTATTTTAATAGCTGAAGCACAGTTTTCTTCCCAAAATGTACTGACTAAAATAAATATTCCAAGCACTGTCATTTATCCATAGTAATTACAAAATATCTCACTGGTGACAATTATGCTTATTTTTGATTTGTTAATATTTCTTGTTACATCTCTTGTTTCCACAGATAGTATTACCCCAACTGATTAGTTATATGCATTCATTGCATTGAAGGCTAACCTTAGAACTTGTTTCTTTCCACATATGAGAATACTTCAAAAAGTTTGTAAAAAGATGGAATTAGAAGATGTTTATATTGGTGCAAAAACTTGTGAAATCCGTCGATTTTTTTTTGTAATGTACATTTTCCATGAGCTCTGTGAAGGCGCCTCATTTGCATGGATTTTCAAAATGTATTTCAAACATAAATTTCTTCTAGTTTCATTTTTCCACCATCTTTTTGAAGAAACTATATATGGTACTTTTGCAGCAGATCATACACTGATGAATTTCAGAACGTGTATCTGTACAGTAAATAGTCCTTAACAGCCCTCTCCAAATTTGCTGATGGCTTGTCAGTTTTCTAGGACCTTTTCACATAGAACAGTTTACTGGCTTAGGACAGGAAAAATCCTCTCAGAGAATTATGAATGGGCAGAAAGATCTGAACTGAATGAAAGTAGCGGTTAAAAATAGATCCTTCCTGACTCATCCTCGTTATCCCACACCCTGCAGTGGCAGCAGTAAGTAGAGCTTCACAAGAGCTTGAGAGGAGAATAAAAACAGACTTTATCTCTTCATCAGGTATTTATTGAGTGCTTATCATATAGTTAGGCATTGGCGATTGAGCAATGTAGAAGCAAGACAAAAATTCCCGCCCTCATGAAGCTTTCATTCTCCCTGAGCAATACAGACAATAACTGAAATATAGGAAATGTCTGTTTGTCCTAGGTGCAATGGAGGAAGGGCAGGAGTGAAGACCAGGGAGGACTGCAAGGGCAGGGTGCAATTTTAACTCAGGGTAGTGAAATCCAGTAAGGCGTTACTAGTAAGGTGATATTGATCAGGGACCTAAAGGATACAAGGCATGATCCATGCGTTTGTATGTGGACAACAGCAAGACCTTTGGACACTTGATGTGTTCAAGAAGTTTGCAAGCATATAGTGTGGAGTGAGCAGTAGGGTGGCAATGAGAAGTAAGCAATAAATGAGAGGAATGGCAGACCCTCAGGTTGCTGTCAGTTACTGATCATCTGGTCCTTGAGGTAACTTAACTGAACATTGAGTCTTAATAAAGTATTTACAGTTAGAGTCAATTAATGACTGTTTTAATTTTGTAGAATTTCCTTGTATTGTTGATCACTGAAAACGGCATACTGGCAAATTTTAATTGTAACTTTGATTTATGACTTTTTTCTTTTCTTTTTGAAGATTCGGTTCTATGAGCTAGTGACTCCATTAAGAAAGGAAATATGTGAACTACAAATGAAAAAGAATGATCTGTCAGAAGAATTAAGTACAAACAAAAGCCAACTGAAGCAGCTTACAGAGGTTTGTATAGTTTTGATTGCTGGTAAAAACAAACTCTCAACTTTTTGCTGTAAGGAGTTCAAGATTTGTAATAAGAAATAGAAAAATCAATGGCAGATATTTCCTTACATGTGATGCAAACCCACTGCATAGGTAGCATTCATCTGGATTTCTGGGCCTAGAACCCATGGGTCCTAAGGTAGGGCCTGAGGAACCCACTCAAGGTGAAGCTCAGAGTGCTTGCTGCATTGTAATTAATTAAACCTTTATTTTTAAAAAAATCAATGATAGAAAAATTTAACTAGGGGATGCTGATTGCTATGGTTTCTCATAAATAGTGGGAAACAGATTAAATTGGAAGTAGTCATCCTAAAAATTGGCAAGCCTATGATCTTGAGCTATAATCCATTGTTGAGCATTTTTGTAACTTGTTTTTCATAATCAATTGCTTTTAATTCATAGCAGGGTTCTATTCAAAATTGCTGTGAAAGGACTGAAATGACACATTTGTATATCAGGGTTTGTTTAGTAATTTAAATATCTACATGTAATGTTCTGTCAAGAAATTTAGGTAAGAAATGTAAACCAGAATATGCAGGGACTCTCTTGCAGGTTCCATGAGTAAAAAGAAGAGGAGGATCCCTTTGGCTTTTAATTATGGTGACTCATAGGTTCCCATTTACCTTGAACAGTCCCATTATTCCCAATATATAAATATTAATAACACTCCACTCATTTCCAGAAGCACCCCAATGTACATGATAAATTATATGGTCATCATACTTGTAACTCTCATTTATAGAGGGTGGGTTATAGCATTAACCAAATATCCAGAATACTATCCTGCAATTGTAACCTGTTAAGAGAAAAGTGGTTGATTGAGTCTTGCTGTCATGTAGCACTTAGGAATGAGATAGCGTTCTTCAAGGATTTTATCGGTCCAGAAGAGAAACACTTAAGGTTATAATTTACAAATAGAGTCTGCTGCAGGTCTTCACAACAGGTTAACCTTGTTCATGATATAAAAGGGAGCTGCACTCCAACTGCCAGTTATTTTTGCTTCTTCTTCAGATGCAGTTAACTCTCCTAATGCTTGTTCTGAACAGGTGTACTAACATTAGCATTAACCCCAGTGATGTGCGTGGTGCTGTGCTACATGCTGACAATAGTAAACACAAGAAAGAATATGTCTGCCCTTCTAGAGTTTAAATTCTAGTAGATTAGAGGTAGAACATTAGAGGATATCCTGATCTGCTCATTTACTGTGTCCTTTAACAAATTGCATCCTGTCAAATGGAGAAAATATTGTTTGTCCATTCATTTCATTGAATTGTCCATGTTTCTGTTTCAAAGTAAAAATATGATTTTAGCAAAGTTGTGTATACGTATTTCTTTTATGCTTTATTTAAAAAGTTTTTAGCCAATGTATTTTTATCCAGAAATGAATAATTACAATGTATATTTTCAGTGGTGTGCTGCACTATTAATACTGGATAGAATTTACTTGTCATCAAGTTAGAGTCAATAACAACATTACAGGCAAAATAAAGGCCTAGCTTCCTTCCTTTCCTTAGAGTAGAAATTTTGTCAATAGGGCAAATGCTAGACAGGCAGACTTGCACCTACTCCCATCCTCTGTTAGTTTGTTTCTTCCTTGCTAATACTTTTATAGAGAATAAAGCATAGATAACTAATAAGGTGTTTGAGTCAGAGTTCCTCAGTTTTTTCTTTATGCACTAAATAACTCTTGAGTATGGAAACTATTTGGTTTGTTAAGTCTGTATTAATCAGGGTTCTCCAGAGAAATATAACCAAGAGCCTGTATGTGTGTGTGTGTGTGTGTGTGTGGGAGGGAGAAAGAACAAGAAAGAAATGGAGAAAGAGACAGATTAAAGAAGTTTAGCAAATCTAAAATCTTCAGGGTAGGTTGGCAGGCTGGATATCAGAAAAGAGTTGCAGTTCAAGTCCAAAGGCAGCCTGCCAGCAGAGCTCTTTGCTTTCAAAGGTCAATCTTTATTTATTTATTTATTTATTTATTTTTAAGTCTTCAACTGATTGAGGCCCAACCATCTAATAGAGGATGACATACTTTACATAAAGTTTGCTGATTTAAATGTTAGTATCATCTGAAAAATACCTTCAGAGGATCACCTCAAATAGTGCTTGATCAAATGTATTATGACTTCCCTAAGTGAACACATAAAAGATGGCACCATAGAATCATTCCATACACAAGTTTATTTCTTAAGGATTTATTACCTCTCAGCTGAGAGTGTAATCTTTTGTTTTAAACCCCTTGCTGGATTTGTTAACAGTGTGAACAAAGAATTATATCACAGTCAGGAAAAAATTAAGCAATGTCCTATTGTTTAATAATAGGTACAAGTTAAGAGAATATGGTTGAGACAAAATAGAATTAGTTTTATGTTAAGGCCATCTTTAGAGTTTGGTTCATCTGCTCTGTCAAGGGCCTATTACAGGTCAACTTTCCAAATACGAAAAAAGTAAACAGAATGTTTTTAAAAGATTTCTTTATTTATTTGAAATGCAGAGCAATAGAGAAAGGGGTGGAAAGAGAGATCATCCCCCAAATGCTCGTAACAGACAGGACTGGGCCAAGCCAAAGCAGGAGCTAGGAACTCCCATTTGGGTCTCCCACATGAGTGGCTAGCACCTATGCACTTGGGCTATCCTCTGCTGCCTTCCCAGGCGTGTTAGCAGGAAGCTGAATTGGAAGCAGAACAGTCAGGTCTCAAAAAATGAAGCCAACACCATTAAACAACTTTTATTATTGTTTCATAAAAAGACCTTTATATAAGGCTGTGAAGAACAATAAATATATTTGATATTGCAAATTTTGCTACATATTTATTTTAAGGTTTGTTTTTTGAAATGATTCATTAAATTATTTACTGCTCTAATAGTATTGGAACAATTCAAAGGTACTGGCTTGAGCTTCATCTGGGCAACTTGACAATGGTGTGATAATCTGAGATAATAAAAAACTCAGTCCTATGGATCCCCCGTCTTATAACTTCTCCATCAGCAAAATGGGGGTGGTAATAGTTAATACCTACCTCACATGGTCATTATTATAAAGAATGTAGTGTATTCAGTAAATACAGATTGTGTGTCTATTACATGACAGGCATTATTCTAGGTGCCTGGGATATCTCATTGAACAAAACAGCAAGCCCTGCCCTCATGGAGTTATAGTTTTAAAAGGGTGTCTATAGACATATATTTCAAAAGGGAAGAGAACAATAAACATTACAAATAAGCAAATCATCTAATATGATAGAAAGTGACAACTACAATGGATAAAAGAAAAAAATTGATGATGATGAAATGATTGGGGTGCTGCATGGAGAACAGAGGAAAAATCACCTGCAGATTTGTACTAGGTTGGCTGGTAGGTCTCATTAAGGAGGCAGCAGGCTTCTCAAGGGAGAGCTTCCAGGCAGAGGACCCAGTCAGTGCAAAGGAATGAGAGTGGCTTGGTGATTGTGGAGTGATGAGGAGGCCAACGTAACTGATAGGATTGAAGGAAGAGGGGCTGGCGCTGTGGTGTAGTAGGCTAAAGCATGTGCCTGTGGTACCAGCATTCCATATGGGCACTGTTTGTAGTCTCAGCTGCTCCTCTTCTGATCTAGCTCTCTGCTAATGCCTGGGAAAGCAGCGGAAGATGGCCCTAGTGTTTGGTTCCCTGCACCCACATGGGAAACACAGAAGCACCTGGCTTCTGGCTTCAGATTGGCCCAGCTCCAGCCATTGCAGCCATCTGGGGAGTGAACCAGTGGATGAAAGACCTCTCTCTGTGTCTCTCCCTCCCTCTCTCTCTAACTCTACCTCTCAAATAAATAAATAAATCTTGAAAAAAAAAAAAAAAAGAAGGGAGAAAGAATAGTCGGAGGTAGATCAGTGAGATAAGGGATCTGCTGAGGTCATGTGAAGAAACAAAGCATATAAGTGAAATGAAGCATTGCAGCTTTTGGAAAGAGGTATGACATGATCTGATACATATTTAAAATATGGCTCTGGCTGGTGCACAGTGGACTGTCAACAAGTGCTTATTTGTTGAGATATTTTTAATGACTATTAAGTCGCTTTCATAATGTCCTAGATAATGGTTTAAAGGCAATTCTCTGTGCTGAGAAGAGAACCATGGAGATGTAAGGATAGAAGCAGAGAGATTTCAAAGGGGGCTCTTGGAGTAATCAGAGAGGTGATAGAGTTTCATTCAGATCAAGGTGGCAGCAGTGGAAGTGGTGACAACTGTTTTAAAGTAGAACCACTAGAACTTCCTCATGAATTGGATGGACTTGGAGGAAAAAAGGTAGAGTCAAATAACTCCAAGGATTTGGGCCTCAATAACTGAAAAGATGGAACTTTACTGAGCTGAGATGGGTATGGTGTGATACAAAAGACTTTAGGGCAAAAGAGAATTCAAGTGTTCGATATATTTTCTTTGAGAGATCTGTTAGATACCCAGTAGGAAATTTATGGATGTGCAAAGCTGAGCTAGATACCCAGCTGGGACTCATAAGCATAAAAAGATATTTAAAACCAGAAAGAGATCACCAGAGGAGAGTGAATGTAGAGAGAAAAAAGGGAAGGGGGGGAGAGAGAAAGAAGGATGGAAAGTCACCCAGGAAAGAAGGAAACCAGAAGAATTACGTTCCTGAAAGTCAAGAAGAAGTGGTGTGTTAAGAAAGAGTGATCACCTGCTTCAAATGTTGTTGATGGGTCCACTTAGTTGAAGATTAAAAATTGGCCATGCATTTAGCAAGGTCATTGAGAACCTTGTCGAGAGTAGTTCCAATAGAGGAGTGAAATCAAAAGTTGATTACAATGAGTGTGAGAGTGAATGAGAGAAAAAAATTGGACCTGGAAGTACAGAGAGTTCTTCCTGATAATTTTAATGCATAGAAAGGAATAGAGAGGGCCGGCGCTGCGGCTCACTAGGCTAATCCTCCGCCTAGCGGCGCCGGCACACCAGGTTCTAGTCCCGGTCGGGGTGC